TCTCTGGTGAATCCTCTTATCCCCTGCACTTCTGGCCTGTACCCCAGTTCTTGAATGCTTAAATAAATAAATCTTTAAAAAAAAAAAAAAAGATGCATGATCAAAAATCAGTCAAATCCAAACTGAAGGAAATTTTAAGACATGACTCAGGTGTCAAAGAAAATAAAAGGGGCTGAGGCTGATCAGTTAAAAGATAGGTAACACTACAGCAACTAAATAATAAATGGACATAGCAGTTCCGTAAAAAACTAAACACATTTTTTTTTTTTAAGATGTTTTTATTTGTACATACAGAACTGGGGTACAGGCCAGAGGCTCAGGGGTGGCAAGAGGATTCACCAGAGACAGAGTGAGGAGCATAACAGGTAGATTGACAAGGTACACTGCTGAGGGGAGCAGTGGGCGGGTCAGGAGAGGTCTGCCACGCCATGTGGTCGCCTCCAGGGCAGGCGGGGATCGAACTCATGCAGAAGTGGCTTTAGCTTCTCAGTGTAGTGCTTTAACCCGCTGTGCCACCAGGGAGGGCCAAAACTAAACACATTCTTAACCACACAATCCAGCAATCATGCTTCTTGGTATTCACCCAAAGGAACTGAAAACTTACTCAATACAAAAACCTGCTTGTGGGACCTCCCTGGTGGTACAGCTGACCCACATGGCACAGCAGACCTCTCCTGTCTCGCCCACTGCTCCCCGCAGCAGTGTACTTTGTCGATTCTGCCTGTTCTGCTCCCCACTCTGTCTCAGGTGAAGCCTCTCAGCCCCTGCACTTCTGGCCTGCACTTCACTTCTTGTATGCATAAATAAATAACTTTTAAAAACAAAACAAACACCCAATATGCCATGTAATCCTTGTTTGGATCTTAACATAAAGTACCAAATATTTTGTAATGTTTATGAGACAACAGGAAAAGATGTGATACCACAGAGTTACTGCTAAATTTTCCAGATGTGATAGTGACATATGGTTGTGTTTTTAAGCATCTTTTAAATATATAAATTAATTACAGATTAAATATGTCTGGTGTGATGGAGGTAAAAATGAAAGAGTGGCACATTAGACTCATTATATGAGTCTTTCTACTTCTATGTTTAAGTTTTCTCTAATATAAAGTTAAAATAAGGAAAGAAAGGGGAGGGAGCGAGGAAGGAAAATAATTCTGGATCTTTTCTATAGATTGATCAGTACTTATTTATACAAGTAGATGACCAATCACAGGCTTACAAGTAGACACAAATGGAGTCAAGGTAGGATTTTAGTGTTCCAGCTATCTTTGTACAAACACTGAGTGTCCATTCTGTGCTTATTAAATGGTCGTGATGACTCTCCTCATTAGTTCCTCACAGCCCTGGGGAAAGACAACTCTTCTTGAGGACAAAGGAGAGCTTCACAGAAGAAATCATGAGATTTGAATAATTAGCAGAAAGTCTGCCAAAAGGAAGACAGTGGAGAGAAAAGTGGGGTAGAGGCAACAGTGCAAGGTATGTATGTGTGGCTAGGAGGCAGTCAAGTGTGCACAGTTGTAGCTTATTTCATCTTTTCTGATTAACTCTGCATTCCTTGGGGAACAGAACAGTGACTGTAATGAATCTCTCCCAGATTCCAGTTTGTCCCTATTCTGATAAATTTGCCACACTGCTGCCTATTATCTTCCTGAAGTACGAGTTGGCCAAACCTCAATCCTGCTCTTAAGAGTTCAGGATTCCTCCTCAGCACAGCCCTAAGGCTGCACACAATCTGACCTAAACTATATACCATGTACAACCCGGCTATATGAAAACAGTCTGCCATGCTCTTTACACACCACTCATCAAACCACGCCTACTGATAGAAATTCCGAGAACCCTTATCCGCACTCCTTCTTGCAAGAGCTAGTTCAAGAGTTCTGCTTTCTTCCCCAGCTGCCCTTCTCCCCACCCCCAAGCAGAAGACGCCCTCTCTGGTTTCCATGGCAATTTACAGTCTTCTACAACACTTAAAAGTTAAATGGACAACCACGTTGATTTTCTCCAGTGGAAAATTAGATATTCAAGGGAAGGCGCCTATTACGTTTCATCAAGACATAGAGTCTTGGAGCAGGGGCTCGGTAAGTGTTTGCTAAGGTTCAGCGCACAGCTGCGGACAGGACACCCTGTCCTCCACCAAGGCGAAATGCCCACACCCACACTGCCGCCTGCCCATCCTCCAGCTCCCACCAAGATGCACCCGCTACACCCCGAGGGACAGTAGCTGCGGTCTCACGAGGAAAGCTCAGTACAATCATAAAAGCTATGGACATTCTATACGCAGCTTCATCTCTCTCACGCGCCCGGGCATTAATGACCACGAGCACTCTCCACCCGCCAGCACAAGCTGCAAGACACGGGCGGCTTCTCAACAAACTTTTCGATTCAAGGCCCTCTAACCAAGCCGGGTCGCGGGCACCAGTCACCCCAAAGCTGCGCCTACCGCCCGGGAGCGGGCAGGGGTGGGAAGGTGGGAAGAGGAGATGGCGGCAGGGCGGGAGGTGAGGGGGCCAGGGCCTCACCGCGCGGCCGTTCCTCGATGTACAAGTCGATGACGACGTCGCCCAAAGTGGTCTCCAGCAGAACCGCCATGGCGCCCGCTCCTCCTCTGCAACCGGCCCGGGTGACAAGCGCAGCCCGGCGCCGTAGACGCCTCGCGTCACCTGCGCGCGACGCCTTACGTCATCCCTCCGGCGACACCGCCCCTTCCCGGCAGCCCGCTGGGGCTGGCTGCGGGGTGCAGCGTGCCCTCCCACCTCCCCTACTCACACCCGCCCCGCCACTCTCCTGCGGTACCCCAGCGTCCCACCCGCTGCGCAGTCCTTTGGAAGGATCGTCGCCCGCCCTGGAGACCGTCGCTCATGAGGGTCTCTAGTCATCGTGCGGGCTCGTGCCCATCCCAAGTACCCGACGGACGTGAGAGCGGCTCTTTTATGCACCGCACCGCCCTTCAGGCGTAGCCAGAGGGCAACCCGGGCGCCCTCTTCCCCGCGGTCTTGTTGAGGTGATTCCTCGGGGGTTCCTAGTCCGTCCCTTATCGTCGCCCTAAATCAAAAACTTGAAACTTTAAATGTTCAGCTTGCTCCCCAGAAAGTTGATGGACAGGGAGTTCTTCACTGACGAGTCATGTTTAAAAACTACCTGTTACAGCCGGAGGCGGTGGATCCATAGTGCGGCCACCTGAGAAATAAAGCCCGTAGGGGGGTTATAAGAAACCCTCGTTAGCTGTCTAGAAAGCACGACAGGTTGCCGGATAATTCATTTTCCTGTCCTTAGACATTGTTGTGATCATTTTAACATCAACCTTTTCCGTAGATATTGGTATGGTGTTTTGTGTTCACCTACACAGCAAGTTTATTAAAGAAAGGATGGTATGGTGTTTTTTATGGTAGGTTTAATATTATTTATGCGTGTAGGGCACAGATTAAGAATAATTGTCATTGAAAAGATAGTCTGTTACCCACACTTGGGGTGTGGGGAGGAGAATGTTATAACACAGTGGAAAAGGACCACGCAAGAAAGAAAACCAGGGTCTGGAGGCAGAAGGGAAAGCATAGAAAGGAGTCTTTATTGTGGTTTCTGTGCAGAAGGCAAGACAAGGCAGATTAGGCTTAGAATTAGCTGTTCTGAATAATCACAGTGGGCTACCTCCAGTTGTCTTTGTGCCTAGCCTTCCAATGATTAGGACAGAGAAATGTTGCCTCCTAGAGTTCAAGAACCCTACTGAAGTGGTGGTTGGGAATAGGGGTCTGGAGTAGTGGGTTTGTATATGAATGGTACGCTGCGTAACAAATTTACTATGTCTCGTAATTAGCTAGCCCTGGAAGGGGGTAGTTTCCAGGGTCAGGACCCGAGAGCATCAGGAATACAGAAAATAGGGGTTTCTCCCCACTCCTCCCTCTGGGGGCGGGGGTGACCCAGGTCCCTGGCTCGCCGGCCGGCTGGAGATGGGAAGCCGGAGATGGGAAGCGACCCGGCGGACGCCGCTGCTCCACTGTTCCGGCCAGGCCGCCCCGAGGATCCCCACGCAGGGGTGGCCGAGCCGCACAAGGGGTTTAACCCTGGTGGCACAAGGGGTTAAAGCTCAGCACTACCAGGCTATCTGCAGCCACTGCAGAATGAGTTCCTGACCCGCCTGGGAGCTGACCCACTTCACAGAGCAGACCTCTCCTGACCAGCCCGCTGTTCCCCTCAGCAGTGTATTTCAGTCACCCTGTCTGTTCTGCTCCCCACTCTATCTAGTGAGTCCTCTCAACCCCTGCACCTCTGGCCTGTATCCCAATTCTGTTTGCATAAATAAATCCTTGGGGGGGTTGGGAACTGAGTAGAATGAACTTGAGCGTCTAGGTGGATTGGCTTCCAGTTAAGAAAGTTGTTCCCAAGACACCTCCCCTGACCCACTGAATTTTAAACATTTAATGCATAGTGAATTCTCAACTTTGGCACAATAATTCGCTTGGGAAACTTTTAAAAGTTACCACTGCTGTAGCTACGGCCCAGAATAATTAAATAGGAAACTCGGATGCCCAGGGAGACTCCGGAGTTTGTAATTTTAAAAACTTTCCAGGCAATGCCCATGTGTGGCCAGGCCAGTAGTGAGAACTACAGATTTAATACGTGTTATTAAAAGTGTTACATTTTATTTTAAATATAATACTATTCTGATACTTTAACTTTCTAGATAAAGGCAAATACACACAGAGCTATGTGTATGTACAGTACAAATTAATTAAACGATAACAGCCACGAAAACATTTTCACTCATTTTGGTGGGAAAATCCTCTGCAAACCATAGTGAATCACACGGTGTCTCACCTTCCTCCGACCCCTCCCACGGCTCCGACCCCTCCCACGGCTCCGACCCCTCCCACGGCTCCGACCCCTCCCACTCCATTCACTGTTTCCAGCGGAGGGTTACTCCCTCCCTGGGCGGGTCTCGCTGCCGCCCCGCCCCTGGCCCCGCCCCTAATTCCCACCCGGCCCCACCCCTCGGGCCGGTTAGGTCCTGGCTCCTCGCCGCCCGCCGCAGCCGGCCTGTCCAAGATGGAGGGCCCTCCGCGGGCGCCTCTCGTCCTCCGCCTGCTCCTGCTCGCGTCGCTGCCGGCCGCCGGGTGTCTGACAGTGACGGGCACCCCGGAGCCACGGCCGCTGCCGCCACGCGCCCTACAGGTACAGCGGGGCTTGCGCGGCTCGGCCACCCCTGCGTGGGGACCCTCCGGGACGGCCCGGCCGGAGCAGTGGGGCAGCGGCGTCCGCCGGGTCGCCTCCCATCTCCGGCCGGCGAGCCAGGGACCGGGGTCACCCCCGCCCCCCGAGGGAGGAGTGGGGAGAAACACCTAAGGAAATGCGGGCGGCCGGCGAGGGGCCAGTGGAGAGAGCCCGAGGAGCTCGTGGACTTGTGACTAAGTCGGGTGCCACGAAACTTAGGCGACCTTAAGACGTCCGCGACTGTTGTCGTCCGGCGGGGCTTTGCCGTCGAGTTCCGCGATCACTAGTGATGTCAGCCTCTGGTAATGGCGCCTTCCTGGGCTGGAGCCCGGCGGTGGGGCAAGGCGGTGTTTGCGCGTTCGGGAAATGTGGAAGTTGCTCAACCAGAGAGCTTGCGAGAGCGTTTCCAGGCCACCTGCCGGCTCCTCTGGGAAGTGGAAGATTGCCTTGCTCCGGCGTGGGCCCCTGGGCGGGAGGAGAGAGCTGGGGACCCCCTCGCACCCTACCGCCCTGTGGCGGTGCTCAAAGAAGGGGATCTCGGCGCGGTGGGAACTGCAGCACCAAAGTCCGCTGAGGCTCAGTAGAAACGCGTCCAGGAGAAGCCCCGGGAGGGGACGCCCCGCTGACCGCTTCAGCGGGGGCTTCTCCGGGGGGTTAACGTTTGAGAACCGCTGCCCCTTTATTAAAAGGATGACGGGCTCTTAGCCGTTTTTGCCCTGGAGTCATACTAACCAAAACCCGTATTTGCCTTTCACTAGTGGAATGTATATAGGGAAAATTTTGAAGATGTTAACGTGGGACTTTTCCCAGAATGAAAAGGGACGACATAGGTACAATCAAGACTTAAACTCTAAAGTCAGGGGGACCTGGGACCGTAAATGTCACTTTTAAACTTTTTTTTTTTTTAAGTTTTTAAAGTTCTGCTTTTAATGTTTTACAGCTATCACACTATACTCCCTGGGTAGAAAAATAATGAGTAAGTCTCAGTGTCAGTTCTACTAGATCATCCCAAGAAGCCACAGCTGGCAAGCCCAGAGAACCCTTGTGTATATCATGTGTGGACCACGGTTTACCACTGGTCAGAAAGATGAATGTGATGCTAAACACCAGAAGACCAAATACAACGAAAATAATTCCTAAAATTCTGAAAATGCCAACATGGTTTTCCCCTTTTCCAAATTTTAAAGAGTCATCATAATTACTTATGAACCCAAATGATAGTTTCTGTAATCTGAAAAAAATGCATCTTTACTGCAAGCTGAAAGTGCACTGTATTATGGGCTTTTTGGTGAGTTCACCATTTCTGTTCTCCCTTCTTAAGCCTTCAGTCCACTTTTGGAGAGTTCAGAGCTAAACTCAGAACTTCAGACAATTTCTAAAATGAATGTTAAGCAGCTAGGAGAATTCTTTGAAAATGTATATATGGAAAGCTGAATCTCCTTGATCAAAAATTTTTTCAGTGTTGTACTGTGAAAATTTCCAAATATATATAAAACACTGGGGAGAATTTGCAATGATCTCTCATGTTAGGTAAGTGCGGAGCTTTGTGCAATGATGTTAGAATTCTCCATCAGAGTAGCTTCGAGAAAACTGTAGATACTGAGTGACCAGTGTGCCTGAAGAACTGGCTTTTAGAATCTATTTGGGTTAATGGATACCATATTGAATAGTGCAGACAGACTATCATTAACATTTAGTAAACTTGCTTTTTGACATATCTGCTATTCTTTTCATCTTGTATCCATTAATTTCTTATATTAAGTATAAGAAAACTGAAGTCAGGGAAATTCTCTGCATAGCTCCCCAGGGAGTCAGATTTATTGGATTATAAGTATTTTTTCTGTTATGTTTACATAAGCAGTTGTGAGATGTTTAGATCACACAGAGTAAAGAGAGATTACAGTACATTCTGTGATTATTAAAATATCACAGTCAGGGGGCGCTCCCTGGTGGCACAATGGGTTAAGCCCAGCTCTATGAGGCTGTGGGCAGCCACTGCATCCTCAGCCAGGGAGCTGACCCACATGGCACAGCAGACCTCTCCTTTCTTGCCCCCTGCTCCCCTCAGCAGTATATTTCAGTACATCTGCCTGTTCTGCTCCCCACTCTGTCTCTGGTGAATCCTCTCACAACCCCTGTACCTCTGGCCTGTATCCCAGTTCTGAATGCATAAATAAATAATCTTTTTTTAAAAAATCTCAGAAAAGGCATTCAGAGGACACTTATTTTCTATATATGTAAATATTCATTTCCTCTGTTTCCCTCAGATGTATTCATTTAAGCCCAGTATCTATTTCCTTATTACCTTTGTATTTAAGAAGCCCTGGTGTCCCAGAAGGGTATCTTATGAATGAAGGAATTCGTGGAAGAATTGAAAATGGGTGGGAAAAAAATTTCACTTCTACTACCCACTTTCTAAGGATACATTACCCTAGTTCACAAGCTTGAACTTCCAGTTCAGCTGGAAGTTCTCAAGACATGTGACCTGGCTTCGAATTTCGGTCAGGAGGCTGTAAGTCTCTTCTGAAATGAAATCATGCAGGAGGAACAAAAAGAATTAATTGAATATGGTTCTTTGGAAAATACAGTGTGCTAGTGCCTGTTACTTGTCTTTTACAAACCCCAGGTTCTACTAGGCAAGCGGCAGATGTAAGTGCGGTAGACTACATACTAACTACCAATGAAAGGCAGAAACTGCAAATGTTTCATGTAGCCCTGCCATTCCAGAGTTATCTCCAGCTGTTAGAAGAACAACAGTCCACAGTTAATAGATCCTGTACTTTTTTTTTTTGAAAAGAGGAATGCCTGACTAGAATTTGGACATAAATAGTTATAGCTACCAACTTGACAGCTTATTGAATGTTGGCTTGTTACAGAGATGAACACTGGCCCTAGCACTCACATAACTCTAGATGAGAGAGGGCTTGAAGTCAGCCAGGCCATTTCTGAGGAATCACTAGTCAGCTTCCTGGGCATCTATGGCAGTTGGGAAGTGGGCCTAAATGTATAAAATGGGCCATGCATGTTAGAATACTGCTGTGTACAATCAACAACCTCAAAAAAATTTTTTTGTACTGTAATTTTCATTCGTTGATAAAATAAGCATCAGGGATAGTCATAGTGTCAGGAAACATACTTATATATTATTTTGATGTTTGTGAATAATTTTCCTATTTTCAAAGTTAATACCCTGAGGAAAAAGTATTGGAAAGGAGTATTTTTTTTTTTTAATTCTAGAGTAACAGCATTTGTGGATAAATTCAGGAGAATTTGGCTTACACATAGCACATTGCATTTCCTGTGCTCAGTGGTTAATTTTTTTTTT